GCCGCCCTCCCCTCCGGCGCCCTCCCCCCGGCCGCCGGGGGGAGAGCGGAGCCCCCACCGGGGCTCGCCTCCCCCTCCCCCGGCTCCGGCCGGAGGCTTTTTTGCCTGGGGCGGCAAAAAAGCCAGAGCCGGCCCTGCATGTCTGGAATTACAAATAATTTTGTTTTGAATCATTTAAATGGTATGAAGATTAACATCCTATAACTCACTTCATCTGGAAAAGGGTTAACTTTTTAAAAAACTTATTTTTTGTTCTTTTAGAACAAGAGCATGAGCAAGTTTAGGATTGATACACTTTAACCTGTATGCTATCAAAGCAAGAAAAACAAGGAATATAGAAATAATGATTAGAAACTAAACAGAGAAATGGACTATTTGTTTATATTAAGATTGAGGTAGCAAAATCAGTAATATAATAAAACTAAGAGGGACTCAGTCCTGCAAACCCTGCATATTATAACAAAGGAGCTGGTGATATTACAAGCATTGAAACGTTAAGGCTTCCGTTAGGTTGATTATTATATATATCTTTGGCGTATTTGGTTTTGTTCATGTCGTTTGTGGGGAAGGAATCTGGGGAGTTCTGTATACATTACAGAGTAGGAAAATTTGAACAAACGGAAGTTTAATAATTTCTTAACTCTTAAATTAGTTGTTATTGTACTCTCACTTTATAATGTGCAGTCATGAGGTCCCCATGGGATGACTCCTAAGAAGCATCTCAATGTGTTCGACTGTTGCCCTGTATTGGCTAGCCCACAGAGGAGCTCTTGCTTCTGTTGCTGATGTCTCATGGATAATCTGCAGCTCAGGTGGTAGAGGCCTATATATTTGGAGCCAAAGAACTTGGGTTCTAGCTCAGGTAGTGACTATGATGTCTTTAAATTGCAGACTACGGGTTTATTACAATTTGATGTGATGCACAAATAGTTTGGGAAAGACCATGGCGGTGTTTTTAAAATCCATTTTCATATTCGCTTTCATTAAAATCACTTGGAGATTTGTGAAATGTCTGTAAAATTCAGCATTGTAAGAGGGGGAGAGTTTCAAAGGCACAAATAGGAGCTAGGTTCCCAACTTCCATAGACTTTCAATGGCAGCTGGCTACCCTATGTGCCTTTTGAAAATCTCACCCAGGATGACCATCTCTTCATTACATGGGCTGGCACAATCATTCTGTTCCTAATTCATTTGTTTAATTACTTCTCTTAAAAAGACATAGTGATGATTAAATTGGCCAAAACACTTTTCAAGTTTAAAATCTTTCAATGGCAAAGGTATGCAATAAATGTTTTTATTTACAAATGTGTAATTAGGATTGAGACTTGGTCTTGCCCAGCCAACATTGTTTCAAGAGGAATTTTCCCCAGAAATCATTTTGCTTTGATTGGATCCACTGATATGAAAGGGGCTGTGAAAATTATAATAATTTCCTAATCATCATCATAATTTGATGGAGGAGAGTAAATATGGGCTATTTATTTCAAGTACTCTGTTGCTTGAGCAAGAGGCAGATGGTTATCAAAAGCATACAAGGCAAAGATCTCCACTTGGATCTTGTTGGCTGGAGCTACCAAAAGTTGCTCTTTCAAAGGCACCGTCCTTCATTTCTCTTCATAAAATCTGCAATAATTTCAACAATAGCTTCAAAAATGTTTAATCAAAATATTGGTTTCCAGCATGAGGAAGAGGACTGCACTATTGCATCTCATTTTGTAAGTTGACTCTGAGTGTTCATCATGTTAATTCTAAGGTTTCCTTTCTGGTCACTGAATATGGCATTATTAAGAAAGATGGAACAGTAGTGTTAGGCACTGGATTTCACAGCCAGTCTTTGGCTATCTGGCAAGGCATTCCAGTCCTGAAATTTTAGAGGCTTTTGAACATCTAGTTAGTGTATTGGGCTGCACACAGGACTAGAAGACAAGAATTTCCGAGTTTTTAATCCTCATTCTGACACTGACTCACTGTGTGCCCTGGCACAAATCTTAGTTTGCCAATGTGTAAAATGAGGATAATACTGACCTTGCATTACACAGGTATATGAGGATTAGTTAGAAAATGCTCATCGGTGTTTTTTGAAGCTGAAAACTGTAACACACTATAAATTTTAGCCATTATTAGAAGGCTAGTTTTCCTTCTTGCTAGAATCTTGAAACACCGACACCATGCGAGCTGACAGCCTGCCAGATAAATGAGTAAATCAATCAAAATGAGCAGAAAAAAGGCAATAGAAAATTGAGTGTGTGCGCGCGCGCATGTCCTTAATACATAATGTCATGTTACAAAGCACTGTGTGTAGTGTGTGTATGGTTTTTTAAATACCTAGTGCACATTATGTAGAGGGTTGCCAGGAGGAGAAAGCTGAGTTGGTTGGCTGGTTTCTCTGAGCTGACACGAGTAGTTTGCAAGTAGAAATGTTTAAAATAACCATGTTTATTATAATGCTTCTTATAGGCTAGAATGTGTTCAAGAATACAACAAAGAATGATGGATATTCACAATGGAACACTTTTTTTCTTTTCTTTTTAAATGTTTTACTGTACAGTACAATACAGCTTTGTTTTGTAGAGTGTCTTTCATACGCACAGTGTCCCAAGTCTCTGTAGAGTTGAATAATACAGGAACAGAGTTAAATAACAGCGCAGGGAGAGAGATTAAGGAGGAAAAGAGATGTTTTCAAGTGATATTTGAAAAGAGCAGGAGAATTAGTCATTAGCATTATTTAAAGTGCCACAAAATGGAGTACATTTACAGAACACTAATTGGTGTATATCTGGCTATGTGCAGTGGCCAAGATTTTCAAAGCTGGGCTCCTAAAGAGAACCGATTAATTTTTCAAAGATGCTGGCCACTTGCAGCTCCTATTGATTCCACTGGGAGCTGGGGCTGCTCTGTAATTCAGGCTACTTCTATTTAGGTAAATGAATTTGGATTTAGATGCTTAACTTTAGGCACCCAGGCTTAACATTTTTGACCAGTATGTATTAACCTACAAGACACGGTGCCCAAGTGCTGAAGAGTGAAATTGGAATGGGGTTTTTCATGCCCTCCCAAGAGCTATTCCCAGAACAATGTTGCTGTGTGGAGAGGTGGGTTTGTGTGTTTAACAAAGTGAATGTTCGAACACTGTCTTTCCTAACTTGCTTGTGCAATTGCTTTAGCTTTTTTCTTCAGTTTTTTTTACTACTTAACTTTGCTCTCTTCCTCCTCCTCGCTGCTGCTATTGTCTCCTGCTCTGTCTTCTGCTTTCAACACTAAAGCACGCAGCCCACTTGAGAGTTCTGTGCCCTGCCTAGCAACCCGCACGTTGGATGATGAAATCCGAGTGCAGCGCAGCCCCAGCGTGGGATGGCTAAGTAAGTCAATGATTGGGGACGTGGGGAGGAGGGCAGAGCCACTGCAGGTGAATATAGGGTGACCAGACAGCAAATGTGAAAAATCGGGATGGGGGTGGGAGTAATAGGAGCCTATATAAGAAAAGGACCCCAAAATCGGGACTGTCCCTATAAAATCGGGACGTCTGGTCACCCTAGGTGAATAGGTTAGTTTGGAGAAACATAGAAAGGGGGAACACTTAGCAGTTAAAATTCTTAAATATGCGCTACCATAGTAATAGCCAGAGAGATTGGAAATCCGCTCTGCATAGACTAGATCAGGGGTCAGCAACCTTTGAGAAGTGGTGTGAATTCATTTATTCACTCTAATTTAAGGTTTTGCGTGCCAGCAATACATTAACGTTTTTAGAAGGTCTCTTTCTATAAGTCTATAATATATAACTAAACTATTGTTGTATGTAAAGTAAATAAGGTTTTTAAAATATTTAAGAAGCTTCATTTAAAAGTAAATTAAAATGCAGAGCCCCCCGGACCGGTGGCCAGGACCAGGGCAGTGTGAGTGCCACTGAAAATCAGCTCATGTGCCGCCTTCGGCACGTGTGCCATAGGTTGCCTACCCCTGGACTAGATACAGCCATAGGTGTTCATGTGACCCTGGGCTGCCCCAACAGTGTTTCCTGCTCTTTTCTCAAAGTTCCATCCTCTAGTGGTAAAAGGGTAGTTCAGGTTCCATTCCCATTCAGACTCTTGTCTCTCTTCCAAGTCAGCCAGTGAAATTATCAATGAGAGGCAATGAATGTGGTGGTTTTTTGATTGAGACACCTTCCTACTAGGGACCAGACCAAGACCATCAACTCATTCACTAGGTCACTAAACAGCCAACACATGGTAACAGCTTCCAGTCTGGAACAAAGTCAGATTGTCAAACTACAGGTGAAAGGCCCCATAATCTCATTACCGATCCCTCAAAGCTATTACTGAAGAATTAAATTTAGTAAGTTACCTGTTGTTTATGTATTTAAATATCTGATATTATTAAGAAAGTTTTTAACAAGGTTTGCCAGTTGTACAATGTATTACAAATGCAAAGTTGAATTTCGGTTCCTTACAAATGAAATATGCATCTATGTAGGTTTCCATATATCACAGAGCTGGCAAAACTCACCAAATGTATTGTTCAATGATGAGTTGAGCTTTGTTCAGGGTCTGTTCCTACCACTGCTCCTCATGTTGTCTTGCTGATTTCAGTGCAACTGTTTTCAGAGCAAGGTACCATCAATGCAATGATGATAGAATTGGGCCCTTTACAAAGCCATAGTTGTTTTAGTAATCATCAAATGTTTGAATCGTGAATGTTAAGTTGTCAGAACAATAAAAGGTAATTATACAGTTTATTAGTAGAAAGAAATGTCAAGTTGAAGAGGTTTTGATTGGTTTATTTTTTGTGCTAGCACCTGATTGTATAAATCCAAGGGGTAACATTACTGATATCACAGATATGGTGAGGTGACTTGGCCCATATTCAGGAAATTATTCCTATTTAGCAGAGCACTTAAGCATATGTGGCATGTACTTTAAAATAAGCATGTTCTTCAGTGCTTTGCTGAATTAGGACTCTAATGCAGAAATTCTTCCCCCATCTAATTGCATAGAAGAGTGAGCTTCTGAGGATTGACATAGCATGGTTTCTTGTTTCTCTGCTCCCGGACTCTGCTTTATTTGCATCTGAGCAGCGTATTAACTGGGCTCCTGATGGTTAAATCCGCCCCCCCCTCCATTTTCTGTTCTTTCTCTCTCCTTCTGAGACTGTGTTGCTAGAGTTTCTAGCACATTGCCTCTATGTTGTATTTATTTCAGTAGCAGGACACCACTGGGTATGAATAACGTTGTGTTAGTTCAGGTCCGGCACATGGTCATTTTAAAGAAATTTCTAGGGCTCCATTTCTTTTTGGTTGACACAAAACCATGGAACTTTTGTGCAGTGTTGGCAGTTTCCCAGGAAAAACTAGTTTAGGACAGAGTGCTGGTAAATACCGGCTTACATCTGGTTTAAACTGGGAAATGCGGGGGAGGGGGGGAAAGGGTGGCATCAGTGTTCAACAAGCACGGAATGAATCTTTTCAAACTTTGGATACATCCATTCAAAACTGAGGAATAGGCTCGGTCTATCCACTACATCAAAGTTGGTCTTCTGCTACAGAATACTGCGTGGCCAAGTGGACCTGGACTGGCAGTCTGCAAATTTGCATGCTTCTGATTGCTTAGTGCTTCAAGCCTACTCCTCTGCATTACTGTCATGTTCATATAACCAGATGTTTTTGACTTTTATATAATATTGAAAACGGAAATGAGTCATGACATGTATACCTTCTTTGAGGAAAATACCGAACCAAATATATGCAGACATTCTGATGTTCGGTATAATAATTACATATATTAGCAGTACACCCACTGCAGTTGTACTTTAATTTAGGGTTGTACAAATAAAATTGATGAATCTACTGCCTTATGTAACCACAATTTGAATATGTAACTAAAATTAAATGTAATGGGGTGCGTGTAATGAAACAGTTTTATTTAAAAAATGCCTTCAACTGGGACTAACTAGTTTTTCATGGGGTGGTAAAAACCATTTTATCTTGTAAAAACTGCCTCTGGCCATCCCGGCTTTTGTGGCAACGTTGTTTAGCAAGGATGCCACATGCTACTAACAGAGTCTACTCAAGTTTGTATTTCTCCAGCTGTTGATGTCTGCATGTTAGGTGGGTCCGCTTTTTAGTTGCACACTTTTTTAACACAAGGCCATTTAAGTGCTTCTAGTGTTTTGCTTGCTTGTCTTATAAATCATATTTCTTCTTCTCTTCCCTCTCCACGGCTCGCCACTAGTCCTTTCCTCTCTTCAGTATGCATTTTTCTTTCTTGTAGCAAGTGACACCATTCATATCTTACAGTTTGGTTTTTCCCACAAGGAAACACTCTTTTTTTTTTTTTTGTGAGCCTATGGAAAAATTCCTAGATGTAACTCCTGCCAGTACTGGAAAAACAGCCTGTAGGAAATGGGATCTTAGCTGAAGGATAAGTAAAGTTCGGCTTAAAGATCTTTGGTGGCTTGAGGTCAGGGTCACCTCAGTTGGAGTCGGGAGGTGCAAACTAGAAACTGCAGCTCCCTGAACCAGCAAGTCTTGCTTATACTTAAGTGTGGATGGATGGGAGATTGGAGTCCCTACTGCTGCTTCCTCTTAGGGGTTCCTCTGGGGAAGGGCAACTTCAGCTTCCACTGGGGATTTTACAGGAGCCTGGCCAGTGGAAGATGTGGAGGAGGGGAGACGCTGAATCCGCACATTGCCCTGCTGACCAGGGTCGTGTCACCATGGCCCTGCTCACTTTTTGGGTAAGCCTGGCCCTTTGCTGGTTCCCTGGGTGGAAGGGAGGTTTTGGTAGCATTGTGATACCCCCATAACCTCTCCCTGGCAGTCTCTAATGCAGTGAGCCTGCCACGGTGGGTATATTGTTACATTCACACAAGAAGCAGTTGCAGTGGCGCTGATTGCATGAAACGCTGGGTTGTCTTGCTTGTCTTTGCGACAGTCCATGCAGCAATACTGTTTTTTTGTCAGAGAAATGTGGTCAGGTCCATACAAGCTGCATCTGTTGTTATGCCGTTCTGGGAGTCCTGAAGCACCCATGCCACATTGCCCAGCAGTCGTCTTGTATTGAGAGGCCTTTGGGTAACTTCTAAAAACAGGGCAGTGCATGCTGGGATGGAGTTCATAGGGTCAGCTCAACTGGTAGAGATACAATGCTTGCAGCTTCCCATCCATGCTCGGAAGAAGCCAGTGCAGAGAGTGCTCATTTGAGCCTGGCCTGAACTGAAGACCTTGTCCCAGAGTTTGACACCAATGCTTATAAAATGTCTTGGAAGACTGTGGTGTGTGGACGTGAAACTTGCAAAGTGTTGCAAGCTCAAGGTGTTGGAGCCTATATTCTGCCTCGGGCAGGTGGCCAAAAGGAGCTGAAGATGTGCGTCATCTATACCTGGCAGCTGTATTCAGTCAGGATTGTGAGAAGCTCACCACTTCCCATCAGCTACAGGCACTTCCTTAGGCTCTGATACGCAGATCTAAGGGTGAACAGAACAGCGAGTGAAGACTTTGTAGCTTGTTGTGCCAAGTGAAGATAGAAAAAATAGGCCTGAATTTGACCGGTGGTGTGTTTCATCATTAAAGACCCAGGATAATTAGGACTGATAGCTGCTTATATCAGGGCTGAATGTTGCCCTTTACCTCCTGCATTCAAGTCGTCTTATCTATGAAGAAAGTCAAGGAATTGTGACTCTTTTGAAAAAAGAGAGACATGAGGAGTTAACCTGAAGATGACACTTGCCCTCCATACAGTGTTCCTTTAAAAGAAGATTCAAGATCTAAGAACCTATTTGTGGCTATCTGTTCAAACTATTTTCATGCTCCTTTAGGGTCAGCTCTCAGTGAGAGTCTGAATTCAGGAGCCCGGTTTCTTGTGCGCTTAGGGCTGGTCCACACTAACCCCCCACTTCGAACTAAGATACGCAACTTCAGCTAACTGAATAACGTAGCTGAAGTCGAACTATCTTAGTTCGAACTTACCGTGGGTCCACACACGGCAGGCAGGCTCCCCCGTCGACTCCGCGTACTCCTCTCGCGGAGCAGGAGTACCGGCGTCAATGGCGAGCACTTCCGGGATCGATTTATCGTGTCTAGACAAGACGCGATAAATCGATCCCAGAAGATCGATTGCTTACCGCTGGACCCGGAGGTAAGTATAGACGTACCCTTTGTATTTCCAACACCTGTTGCTCCTAAATTTCCAAAAGTAGCTGGTGATTTAGCCACACGGCTGTTACTGAAAGTCAAGAGAAAGGACTTGTGTCGCTTACTCCCCTGCAGTGTTTTGAAAATGTAGGGAATTAGGGTTAAATCTTTCCCCTGATCTCCAGTGGGTTGGGATGGGAATGAGTGTGAAGGTGCTGGGAGCTGTGCATCCTGTAAAATCAGCAGCTGTGCATGCGAAGTGCACTAGCTGCTGTGTTCTAAACTGCAGAGTGATGTGCTAGCAGGATCAGGCATTCCGTCTCCATTAAAAAGGATTCATACACATAAAATTGGATAAATGTACAGCCATAAACATTAAAAACAAGTGTTCGCACTTGAGCTTTAGAGTAAATGGTGGTTGTATGGTCCCTTGTTTTCCAGCTGTGACTGTTGGCTGATCTTTAACACTGAGGTGAGCCAACTAACGATTGAACTACCTGCATTTTATTTTGTTGGAAGGTGAAAGCCTTTCTGCCTGAAACAAAAATGCCAAGGTTAAACCTATTTATTTGTCACAGCGGTTAGTAGAATGTCTGGACTTAGTTTCTGGCTAAAGTAAGTCATTATAGCATCGCAAGTAGCGATGCCATAGTTACAGCTGAGATGGGTACAGCTCTACATCTCAGAAACAGAAGGTGATACAGAATATGGCCTTTTCTTTAGGGTCACTTCCTTCCCCGCTGTATTCAGTTGGACTTTGGCCCCTAAGACCAGGATCACAGAGCCCCTTTTGAAAAGTTTCAGTTGGAGGAAACATAGTGCAGTTACTGTGATGCTACGTTTGATCTGAAGGCCCCTCACTAGCAATATGAGCAGTAGCTGGAAAGGCAGGGTTTTTTTGGAGAGCCCCTCTGCTCTGGAGTTCACTTATCCCATTGGATTAACAGTTTTCTACCAATGTACTTCAATCGTAAATCAAGACTGGATGTTTTCCTGAAAGATCTGCTCAGGTTCAAACAGGAATTAATTCAGGGAAATTCTATGGCCTGTGTTATACAGGAGGTCAGCCTGGGTGATCACAGTGGTGCCTTCTGGCCATATAATCTGTGAATCTATTAACCTAAAATGCAGCATTCCGGGCATGTTAGTTCAGTCTTGGGCATCTCATAAGAAAGATCCCACCAAATTTTGTGATGTGGACAGATATCTATTGGTGAGTAGCTGGAAATGGCCTGACTCAGTCCATGTGTGGCCCAGTCGAGATTTGGAGCTAGAAATCCAGATGTTAGTTCATCAACAGCACCATCTTTTTTTGCCAGTGCAGTCAACAGAAAATGGAATTACACCTTCAGCAAATAGCCTTCCCCATAGCAGCACAGCACAAGCCGGCTCCAAAACTCTTCTGAATACTCTCAAATGTGTTAAAATAGCTTGGAACATTGTTTTAAATAAAGCAATTAGCAAGTTTTTAGGTTTTTCCCCCCCAAAGTTGTCTTTTTTGTTTTTGTTTTTTAAACTTGAAGCCACTCGTGCAATGGCCTCTGTGACCATATGACATGGCTGCAGACACTGCCAAGATTTGGAGATCATATGACAAGAAGAAAAGCTCCTTGGACAATGAGAAATCAATCCCAACATCTCCCTGTATGCTGCTGCATCCAACGAGCAGCCCAAACTACCCAGCCCAATAGCAATGGGTAGGTGGTAAATGTGGGATACAGCAATTGTGCCCTACCCATGAGCATTCCCATCTTTGAAGGTATGTGAACTTCTTCAAAACTGTTTAGCTCAGCTGTAGTCAATATTGTCTGTTTCATCTCTCATTTAATAATAGGAAAGGACACTCAATAGGAACCTTTTGCTTCAATTCACCCAGCTGCGTGATACCAATTATTGGTTTGAACAAGTTCTATATTTACAAAAAAAAATGCCTTCCCATATCTTTATTTGATTTCAGATTTGCAAAACTCCCCTCCATGCTTCTCCATGCAGTTCTATTGTTTTCTTTTTAACCCATATGTACATTATGTACATATAAAAAAATTCCCAGAATTGGCAGCCTGTCTGTAACTTTTAAAAACTAATGAATCAACTAAATGCAAGAAGAAAAATCACTGGGTTTTAATAATGCACTACAGGATTTAAAGAATCCAGCCTTATTTTGCTTCTCCATTTCCTCTATGGTCTGTGGCAAATATTTCTTTACATTCTGTTCAAAATGAGGAAGGTTGTTTTCAGAAACACAAAGCAAGGTATATACTGTAGAATAGATGCAAATATGCTGACAGGCAAATTTGATGGATTTTTGCCCCCTATGCATTTTTTTTATCATGTATCACACATACACAAATCAGATACTTTACTGAAACTTTAGGGGCACCACTAAGGTTGGCATACTGAAAGTTAAACCAGGGAACATTTGAGGCTGCACGTAACTGGTCTCAGACATGTAATTTCCCACCTTACATGTAGGTACTCTGGGAAATTTTTGCATAAGGTTGGCTTGGATGATGGGAGGAAGTTTGCAGGTCTCCTTGCATAGCATCTATCCAAACTCAGCTGCTTACTGCTGTTTTTTAGCCATTCTTGTTCAAAGTAATGATGAACGATGTGAATATTGTAATTAAAACTGAATCAGGAAAATAATATATTGAGTCTGTCCATTTACTTTCCTCCCAGTGAGTCCAAACCCTTTTGATTACTTGAAAGCTGTCTCAATATGTATCGATAGCCTCATCTTAAAAGGGGAGGTATATATATGTGCGTGCTGTATACACAAGTAAGGTTAACGATGGAGATAAAAAGGAAAGTAAATTGGAACTTCCCTAAGCACTGGAGACCCTCTTATAGAACCTCTAGGAAATCCCTACTGAAAGTCATTTAAATTTAATGAAATTTGGGAAGATCAGAATAGCAATCTGTTGGTCCCCAGCCTGGATAAGCAAGTTAGGTAGACATGTTCTAGGACCCTGGATTTTGTTTTTTAACTTGCACCACTTCAGTGTCACAGAAGATATATACTTATTGGAAGATGATACAAATTGGTCCCATAATATCACTTGTGCCCCAGAAGTTTTTAATTGAATTCCTTATCAGAAAATGGGGCTTGAGAGCAGTGTTGTTGCCTTAACAAAAGGTGCCAGTGGCTTACCAATCTTGGCACCTGAGTTATATCTCCAGCAGTGCGAAGGTGGCTGAACATCATAACATTAGGAGTAGATTTTCAAAAGAGCTCAGTTCCTAGTTGTGCACCTGAATGGAGTAACCAGGTTTTCACAGAGTGCTCAGCTTCCAGTGAGAACCGTGGGAGCTGCTCGGTACTGATCTCTTTTGGAAGCCTGGCCTTTGGATTTTAGTTTGAACAAACCTCCATAAATTAAGAAGCTTATTTTGAGACCTATCCCAACCTAGAGTCTGAAAACTTGGTTGGGAAATCTCACAGCAACTCTATTTGAGATTTTTCTGTAGCTCTACTTCTGGTCATGTCTAGAAAAATCTGTGATGAGAGCCTCTCTTGCTGTATGTCAGAACTTCTGGTTCCAGCAGAAGTCGCAGAGAAAGTATCCTAACATTTCAGAACCATAAAAAGAGCATACTCGGAAACTGACATGCCTTTCAGATTGAGGGTATTATATTTGTCGTCAATGTCTCTCTTTGGCCGCTGTTTGATTTTTTTTTCTTCTTGTAGTTATGACTGTTCCTGTGTGTGGATTTTTTTTTAATAAAAAATTTAAGGGTTCTAATAGAATTTTAGAAATGAATGAAGGTTTGGTTGCTTCTTATTTTTCCAAGTTATTTCCTCCTCTCTGCTGCAGTGTCTGAAAACATAAGGTTCAATGGGAATAATTGTCCATAAGCTTGCACACAATTACTATCTGGCTTTGCTGCCTTGAGGTCTGCTAGGTTACTTTACTGACATTTTAAGGCTGAGCAGTGTATATCTTGTCAATCGCTTCTTTGAAAGAAAGGTTAAGTCTATTTAAACTTTTGGCCTCTGTCTTCTGGGTAACTTCAGTCCGCTATCCTATTGATTACGGTGGTTTACACCAAGTTGATGTGCAGATAGTTTTGTCTCTTCCGTTCAGCAGTCTCACAATTAGCCTATGGTTGACAGGGAGGGTCAGTTAACAAGGTAATTGGAAGAAAAGTAATTTCTTCTGAACAGCATCAGCTGATACTATAGACAAGCTCCCAGTATGCAGTGTTGATTAAACCAGCTGTTCTGTCAGCTTACTTAGAAAACTTCCTATTCTCTTAATTGGGGGGACTAGTGTAGGAAGGATTACCTGTCAAACATGTCCAGGAGCAGTGCTCAAACTCTGTTTTTTGGAAGTGCCTTAAACTTTATTTTATTTCTGTTTCATACTGAGGGCGTGTCTACACTACCTGCCAGAACAGTGGGCAGCAATCGATCCAGCGGGGGTCGATTTATCAACCACTGACCGCTCTCCCGTTGACTCCGGTACTCCATCAGAAGAAGGAGCACAGGCGGAGTCGACGGGAGAGCATCAGCTGTCCACTTACTGCAATGAAGACACTGCTGTAAGTAGATCTAAGTATGTTGACTTCAGCTACACTATTCATGTAGTTGAAGTTGCGTATCTTAGATCAACCCCATGCGGTAGTGTAGACAAGCCCTTAGTGTGGGAATTTTGTGGACCAGATACTATGAATCTTTAGTTTCCTTCTATCCCCTTTGCAACTTTGAACTCCATAAAGCACACTGTATCTGGCTCTACAATTTTTCCAGTTTGGCCCACTACCCTGCCCTCCTTATGCAGCCCTTTGGAAGGTAGTGCTATAGCCAGGCCCTCTGTGTCCTTTTTGCTGGGTTGTAACAGATGCCTTAACTGGTATTGACCTTGTCCTTACAGGCAGTCCAGCCATGACTCATAGAAACCTGACTTCCACCAGTCTGAATGACATCTCTGACAAACCTGACAAAGAGCAGGTAAGCTTCAAATTCTGACTTCATTTGAAGTTGTACAGGGGGAGGAGGGTGGGTGAGTTTGGACCATAAAACTGGAGTGCAAGAGATGGGCAAGAAACAGGTAAGTAGATGGTCAGGTGTTCTGCATAGCCGGCTTACAAAACGCCCCAATTGTAAGTATCAGCCATTTATAAAGCAGCAGCTCTGGTATTATCAGGGATGAAGGAACCACTGCTTGCGGTAGTTTGTGGTGTGACTAAGAGATTTGGCAGCCATATTGCTGATTTACTGTTTAAACAAAGTATGTTGTCCTTTTCCTTGAGAAGTGAATGGATAACATCTAGCTTCTGATTATCTCCAGCTTTCCTCTACATGTTGAAAGAGAGATGCACGCTTTCAGCCTAGGTTCCGCAACACACTTTATAGTAGATGGTATGACTTAGAGCTGCTTGTACCACAGGGTGTGCACTCCCATCTGGTGGGTGATGGATTCCTTATCAGTGATCGCGTCAAAAACGCACATTTGACCAAAACAGGCTTAAAAGAAACCCAAGATGATATAAAATAAAAGTTTGATTGGGTAGACCTATGATGTCAATGAACATAAAGCCTTTGTTACCAGCCTCCAATAATTTGCCTGTTTGAGGTTCTCTGAATGGGACAGTGTTTGTGGTGCCTTTGCACGTGCTAAGGGAATCATACTTATTTCCTTGGTGTGTTGTCTCATCTTTTCAGAGAGTTTAGGGTTTTAAAGAGTAAGTTCATTTGAACACTTTGAAAGCTAGCATCTGAATAAATGCTCTGTGCAAATTTTAATCATCCTTTTGTTACAGATTCAAAACCAAGTTATTCTCAAGGTGTGACTGTTTCTTTGGTGGCATCTTTTTTTTTTTTCTTCTTCTTCTTCTACACTGTTTATTCCCTTGGTTATTTCTTGAGGCAAAGGAGATTTACATAGTTAATGTATTTCCCTGAGAATGTTATGATCAGCCAGGTGAGAATGACTCAAGTCCTTCACAGTGATCGTTGCTGGCAATGTTGCTGCTGCTTATTTGAATAGAGCTGAGTTTTTGTGTTAAAGGGGCACATGAACACAGTCACTATAAGAAAAAGAGTTCAAAATAACTTCAGGTTCTACAACTGCCTTTCAGTGCCCCCAGCCAAATTTTGTGGTTTATGCTATCGCATATTTCTCTGGTGTAAAACAAAAAAATTCTCTCTCTGTTTGCTGGATGGAAGATCCACACAAAAGGGGGGAAATGACTGACTGGGGAAACACCGAAATGGACTATATACAAAAACTGCAGTCAAATGCATGGAGTAGAAAGAATAGAGAGAGACACATTTTCCCCTCTAATCTTAGTTTTAATAATCTGTTACTAACTTTCTTGGAAGTAATTTTTAATTTTTTTTAATTTATTTTTATTTTTTTGGGCAAAATATCCAGTTTTGTCAAAGCCAAATTATTTTGTGGAAATAGTTTGGTTTTGCGAGAGAGCAAGACACCCTCTCTGTAGATGGGTTGGGGGTCTGCCTTGGAATCTTTTAGACCCAGGTTCAAGTCCTCGTTTTGCCTGAATCAGAGGAATTGGGGATGAAGAGCTCTGCTGTAATTCAGGCAGAGCAAAAATGTAAACCTGAGTCTCCCACATCCCCCACCAGCACCCTAACCACCAGGCTATGGAACGAAAACACAACAGTGTGTTTTCAGAAAGATGCTTTCGTTCCAACGTGGAACAAAACCAATTGCAAAACCTCAGAAGTTACCACAGGATGGAATTGCCATCCTCTGTGCTCTGGTTGGTAGTGCCTTTCAAAGTAAGTGTGTGTGTGTGTGTATTTACACATACACTCTCTCTGATTGTAAGGAAGCCTTGATGTATATTTTTATTGATAGAAAGGAACATGAGGCAAAATCCTGTATTTAACAGGAAAGGCAGCAATGTAATATAGTATAAAATGTTTCCTAATCTGGACCCCATATCCTCAGTAGCAAGCTAGACCTAAACACTGCAACAATTTCCTCAGTTTTCTGCAGCAGAAGCGTCACTGAATTTTGCATCACTGAGATTTTGGTGGAAGCATCAAGCAAATCCAGAAAATAGGTTTTTTTTTAATTGCATTTAATATAAAAATGAATAACACAATCACATCTATTAATACTGTGTTTATTCCCAAAGTGAGGTTTGAAATGTGCAGTAGAATTCCATATGGACAATGACTGTCTGTTTATAGTGAAACACTGCTGGGTTTCAACTAACTTGGTCTAAAATGTTTGTTAGTTATTTAGCAGACATCCTGCTAATGAGCTTTTCACAAAAAAACTCTTGCCACATAAGTTGGTCAAAGTTAGCCCAAGAAATCACTTTGGACCCGGTCTTTAGTTACTGATTGGCTCATATGCCTACTTTGATAAAATTGGTGAAATTGCGATGATGCGTTGTAACTTTCTTGAGCTAAGCACTTACCAAGCAACCCAGGAAGCTAGGAAATAAGTCATGATTTAATGACAACAGGGCATGTAAAAAGAACTGATTTTCTTGCCTTGACAGCTGAGTAGCTGGCTTTCATTATTTTGGTTCACAAGGCTGTATATTGGAACGTGATTCTACTTAAAAAAGAGGCTCCCCCATTTTTATTGATTTGTTTGTGTGCATTGGAGACCATCCTATTTTTAAACGGTGGTGTACTGAAGTTTGTTTATGGTGTGTGTGTTAGCTCAAGACAGGAAATAACTTGCAAATAAAAAGGGGAAAATTGTGTTTACATGTTTTAAGTGACAAAAAAGTTTTGGACTAGTTTGTGTTCTCTTCTCCTGCCTATTTATCTTTTTCTGCAAAGTACAATGATAGAGTTAATAGCATAATAAGATTATAACCAGAACTTGGGTTAATCTGTGTTCCAGTAGGCTCTTAGTAAGCAGAAAAACACCTGGGGAGCATTCGAGGATCTGGGAAAACGTATACTGTTTGCTTTCTGTTCACAGTGAAGCTGTTTGTTCCTCTGAAGGGGTTTTTTTTTTTTCTTTTTTTCTAAAGGGAATTTAGTGTTGGTGTAAAGTGTTTGAGTGATTGCACTGTATCCCCAAACAGTTGCTACACACGCTAATGTCTGTCAGTAACAGCTAGGCTTCATGTGAAAGGCTCCTTATCCAACTACCAATCTCTGGAACCATCAGGTCTCATCTTTTTCCATACTGGGGCCCTGCAGCAGTTCCCTTCCATATCTGGGATGCCCTCCCATTTTAGTAATATAGAAGAATGGGGGTCATGGCCCTCCGACACCGATTTCTGACCCTGATCCCAGGGGTTTGCACCCCTCAGGTTGAGAACCTCTGCCTTAAACCATACAATCTCCCTATTTCTCTGAAGTTCTCATTTGGAGAGTGGCTTCTTCCAGGCACCCAAAAATGGAGAGGACCCCTCACATATTGATGTACACACCACACTTCCTGTGGGTCTTCCTAGTCCAGTCTGACTTTCCAAGTTGGAGGAAAGTGGAAACTCCTCTCAAACGTTGGAAAAGCACAGAGGCCTGGATAGTGGGGAGGTGAATTCCACCACACACGCCTGGAGTTCCAAAAGGAGGATTGTAACTGTCACAAATACTTTACTTCTGCATTTTGTTTTTCTGACCGACTGAGGGGTTATAATACACTTCACAGTAGGAATGAACAGACTAAACCTAGGAAGTGTCAAAAGAGGACACTACAGCGGGGACAAATGCAATCTACAGCATGTGAAATATGCTGGTGCTTTTATTTACGTGCTGCTTTTCTCTCCTTGGAGTCATCCCGCTTCTGGCTGCAGTGGTGAAGAACGGTTGTCTGGGCCTGGCAGCTTTCAGGTGACCTAGGTGTTCTCACAGACTTGGGAGAAAGAGCTGCTGAGGGGCTGTTTGCTGCAATCTGATGAAGAGCACTAAGAAGCCAGGACCTCATTACAAAGACAGAGGAGCTGTAAGAGGCAGTTAGTATTTTATGTAATGGCCGCATTTGTGGTATGGTGAGCTCCTACTGTCCAGAATATCCAAACAAAGCCAGAGTTACTGTATTTGCCAGAATAGCAAGCGAAATAGCAGCTAGGGCAGGGCTCTCTAGGGCAGCATATTAGTGGGAGCCACTGCCCAAAGAGAGTGAGTTGAAGGCAATTGGACTGTCCCGTCCCATCCCACAGGGCTGGTAAAGGGGAAAGGGAAGGAAGAGGAGAAGGTTGCTCCCCGTTTTCATTGACTGAAACAAGTGCAACTCTGATGCAGACTTCCCTCTGATTCACTGTGCTTAACTTGACACACTCTGAGTAGTTCCATTCAGCTCAGTGGGCCTGCTCAAGAGTGCCTAAAGTTAAATGTGCATATGCCTTTGCAGGACTGGGGACAAAGATAGGGAAAGAACCTATCAGCAGGGACCTGGGACACACACACACATCTGTGCAGACACAGGCTCCAGTAATGTCAGACGGAGGATATGTCCACACTACAGCAGCACAGCTGCAGCTATGCCTCTGTAGTGTAGATGCTTCTTACATTGATGAAAGGGTTTTTCCATCACTGTAGTAACTGTAGCTCCTTGTGGTAGCCAGGTCGACCATTGACTTAGCGGAGTCTACAGCGGGAGTTAGGTTGACCTGACTACGTCGCACAGGGTGTGAAATTTTTCACAGCCCTGAGTGATGTCACTAGGTTGAGCTAAGTTTTAAGTGTAGACCGGGCCTTGTTCTTTTGCTAAAATGGTATATAACTGAGATTTTCCCATAGCGTGCTAGAAGGCTGGTTACCCAGACAGGAGGGTCGGTAACGTTCCATGCTGCTTATCTTGGATTTACTTTGTGTTTTCTTCTGATTGTTTTCATCATTGCCTTCCTTAATCTACATTTCAGAATTTAGTCTAGCTGCTGATGGCGTAAACTTTAGACTGTTTCCAGAGAGAGAGAAAATGAACTTCTGACCTCCAGTGGAAGGCTAAAGTGGAACGTGTGGGGGAGTGGCAAGCGGTCTCAGGGGAAGGGCAGAAGGTTCTCAGC